CCGACGAAGACTTGCGTGCAACTTGCGCTTTTCTCTCAAAGTGTTTACCGCTGGTAAACCCAAATGAAGGTTAAAATTTAAAAACGAATTAATAAAATTTAAGTAAAATTTGTGGATAATTAACAATAAACTACTTTTTTCGCAAAATCTATAAAGGTCCCTTTTATTAAAAAAAAAAAAACTGTGCAACAGTTATTATTTTACACCCTGTGAGTGATAAAATATTAATAGCTGGAAAAAGGAGTACAAACGAAGTACAAACCTAAGAAAGGAGTACATTTCCAGATATTTTTTTTGGAAGAACAAGGGAGTACATTTCAATAGAAAGGAGTACGTTTACTCCCAAAAGCAGTACGTCTGGCAACCCTACACACACTTCACTGCTGACGGTTATAAGTTTGAAATAGCAGACTACTTCGTTTATTTGGGAACCAGCATTAACATCAATAATAATGTCAGCCTTTAAATCAAACGGAGAATCACTCTTGCCAACAAGTGCTACTTTGGACTGAGTAGGCAATTGAGAAGTAAAGTCCTCTCTCGTCATACAAAGATCACCCTCTATAAGTCACTCATCATGCCTGTGCTGGTGTATGGGGCGGAGGCATCGATGAAAACATCTGATAAAGCGGCTCTTGGAGTTTTCGAGAGAAAAATTCTGCGAAAGATTTATGGACCTTTACGCGTTGGCGATGGCGAATACCGCACACGATTTAACGATGAGCTTTACAAGGATATAGACATAGTGCAGCGAATTAAAACTCAGTGGCTCCGCTGGCTTGGCTGTGTCGTTCGAATGGATAGAAACGCTCCTGCTCTGAAAGTATTCAACGTGGGCCGCGATGCTGGTAACAGAGGAAGAGGAAGGCCTCCTCTGCTTTGGAAAGACCAGGTGGAGAAGGACTTTGCTTCTCTTGCCATTTCCAATTGGCGTCAGTTGGCACAGAAGAGAAATGACTGGCGTGCTGTTTTGGACTCGGCCAAAATCGCCTAGGCGGTTGCAGCGCCAATAAAGAAGAAGAAGTGCATCAAAATGGATGATTTATTGTTAGTATGCAAATTAGAACTACAATTATCTACTTGTTGAGCATTATCTTTCAAAACCAAAAGGGGAAATTTGGCACATAAAATCCCACCCATTAGAAAGAGAACAGTCCTAACTTAAAAAAAGCACCCTCGTTTTCCGACCACTGCAGGCCCCTGGAGAATCATTGGTAAATGAGATTTTTGCGTAAACTTCCTTCCCGCGTTGTAGACCTTCGGCCGCGTTTAGAAAAAAAAACCCTCATTAGTCCAACTAGGGCTACGCTGACCGCAGTATTTTTTACAAAAAAAGTCCATATTTCAAACCGAATTTATTAATAAATTTGTGTTCGAACATTTGAAGTCTTTATTTTAAAGTGCGCGTTTGGACACAATAACCAAAAATTATGGTACAAATAACGAACCGTACTCAACAAAATACCTTTTGGTTGTTCAAATTTCGATTCTAAGAACAAAACGGTTTTAGATAAACCATATATANCGATTCTAAGAACAAAATGGTTTTAGATAAACCATATATATAATACTCCTATATTGGCAGTAAGAGCTAGTACCGTACGAAAACATTACAGTACAGATATATCAATAAACACGTACGAAAGACAAGGAACACATACGTTTTTAAATAAACATGTACACAACACATACATAAAAACGGCACTCACGTACGCTATACATTCACAAAAACGGTACTAGACTGTCTCGCTTTGATTTCGGAATGCTTCAGGTGCTGGCCCAATGCAGGCTTGCTTTGCTTGCTTCGCTGCGAGAAGTGTCAAAAATTATTTGGAATATACTAAAACGTATAAAGGCTGGCCAAATGGCAGCTTTTCTTCACTTGCTTTAAGCGCCTCAAAGTTTGAAATAGGCAAATGTTTTATTTGAAAGCGTTTCGTAGGCTTTTGACAAACAGATAAATTCAAACAAAAATTTGCTTACTTAATTTAAAAAAGTCACAGAAAATTCAGGTAATTCGAAATGAAATAAAAATGTGTCATTGTTTCCATACTTATATTTAACATAACATATAATAACATTTATAATTAACATATTGCAAAGCCCACTTTTACAAATTTTACACGAGAGGAAAAAACTTCTTATAGCTCTTTTCTTCAAGTAAATCACTTTTTTATGTTATAGTTTTTTAGTAAATGTAGATATAGATATGTATGTATCATTATTATCATATAAAATACAAACAATATTTCGCATTAATTTAAAAATAAATCTGAAAGTTTTTGATACATATTTTAGAGTTTTCTAGGAAATAATTATTAACGTTAAGGGAACAGACATTGACTTTTCAACCAGACAGCTGGTTACTTTGACAGCCTTCCAAGCCACCATTGGCCGAGCAAGTTTTCAAAGTAAATCAAAGCAAATTGAAGTCAGCAAGGCGCGCAAAGCAAGCCTGCATTGGGCCAGCGCCTTTACACATTCAGAAGTTAGCTTACTGCCAATATAGAAGTACTAGCAATACCCGGGCGCGTTGCTACGCCAAAGAAAAACACAAGTATTTAGAGTTTTGAAATTGAATACCTTTTTATTTACTTTAATGCTAAGGTATAAACAATATTTTTAGTTTTTTCATTTGTTGTGTAAATATATAAATTTTTTGGTGTCCCAACTCGTGAACAGGCGACGTATAATTGGCCATGTGAAAAGCACGAATTTTTCAAATCCAAACCCGCGATAGTTAATGATTGCCCTTGTGCTTTATTTATAGTTATTGCAAAGGGCAAGACACAAAGGGAATTAAAGCCGCTTGAATTCGAACGGTAAATCGTTGGAAATCATCGGTTTACGTGGAATCAGCACATCTTCGCCTTTGAATTTACCGCTGATGATTGTTCCTCGATCAAATTCGGTGTTAATATTTTTATTATCACTCTGGTTCCGTTGCACAGTTTTGGCGCGCTCAAGTTCCCAATAAGTATCACTGGTGGCTCCAAAGAATTAAGAAATTCAGTTGGGTAATTAACAGCTTGATCTTTGTCCATTACTGTATCAATCGATTTATATTCGACTGCTTCTCCTGAAATTTTCAATTGAATTTGTCTGTTTAATTTACTAACATTATCGTTCTTCGGAGCTAAAATTCCACGTTCGCGGAGCCATTCCGTATTTCGGTAGTTGATCGCTAAGTTCGGAAATACTCAGTCGATGACGTCTTGAATGCTCTGCTGCATTTGACAAAAGTTGGAAGGAAATGATATCTCATTTGTTGTGCGATCAATAGGAACTTCACCGTTACCGATATCAAAAAGTTACTTTGAAAATATTTGGGCAGACGTATCTTGCAGCAAATGCTCTCGCATATTTGTTGTGAGCGTAATTTTTTCGACATAGTTCCACAGACGCGATGCCTTTAAGCACGCGTTCAGATCGTCTGCAGGCGTTGATCGTGGTATAACGGGTAATCTTCGACGAAAATCACCTACAAGGAGTTCAAGAGCGCCTCCTCTCGGTTGTTCGTTTCCACGAAAATCTCGAAGAGTTCGGTCAAGTGCTTCGAGCGATTTCTTATGTGCCATGGTGCATTCGTCCCAAATTATAATTTTGCACGTTTTAAGGACTATGGCCATACCAAAGCTTTTACTGATGTTGCATGTAGGTGTTTCGGTCTGACTCAAATTCAATGGAAGCTTAAGTGCTGAATGCGCTGTACGTCCGCCATCAAGTAGTGTTGATGCAATCCCCGATGATGCTATTGCTACTGCAATCCCATTTCGCATTCGAACTGTCGCCGATATTAAATTGATGAGGAAAGTTTTCCCGGTACCTCCTGGAGCATCTAGGAAGATAATTCCGCCATCTCTTTTGGTTACACGTTGCATGATTTTGTCATAAGCTTTTTTTCTGATCAGCAACTAAAACTCTTTTTGTGTTTGCACAAATCGTTCAAGCTGATTTGCATCGAACTGCTGTTCTCGCATCAAGTCTCTAACTTGTTCAGCATTTCTATCTCGTGTCGCTGCTGGCATACCGCGTTGACAAAGAGCTTTGTTGTTGATTGACATGCATAAGTCCTCCATTAATATTAAAGCTTCATTGAAAATGTCATCCGAATATTCCTGATTTGGATCGCTTTTACGTGCTTGTCTTAGAATATCTTCACTGAGGCTTTCACGATGCATTTCCCACAGTTGTCGAGGATTCGATGGTGCTCATGTTGTTAAAATTATCGCAAACAAAGTTCGCATTTTGCTTTGGATGGCACTTGAGTGATGCTTCGGTCAGAGTTGTATTCCAATTCTGATCATTCTCAAAGCCAGTTTAAAGCACGATTCTCTATACGTTTATATATTCTACTCCGTCGATGGTTTTCAATGCAAGTTCAATTTTTGACCAGGTGGCAACACTAATTAAAATATTTTTTGATGTAAATTTTCTTAAATATCTTTCCCAAATACCTTCCATTTGATATCTACATCGTAATACTTTACTTACATATTTAAATAAATTTTATTTTTCTGACAGGTGGCAACTCTTTCAAAAATAGCCAAATTTCACAGGAACACTCTCCGGGTTTCTATGAAGCTATCCTGGAAATTTTAACAAAATCCGCTGAGTGGTTTCGGAGTCTATAAGCTGCATAGACACATACATACATCCGCTTTTATATACATATATAGATATAGATTACATATGTATATGAGATAAACAAAAAATTAATAATACAATTTGAAGGATTCTTAATGTTGGGTATGGTAGCGCGAAATGTCACAATCTGCTTAATTATTAGGTTGTTGATATGGCGACAAAAAAATTACAATGGAACTACCTTTTTTGTGTCATGATAAAAATCTTATTCGTAGTAAAATTTTATTCGGATAGTTTATTATATACAACCCTCAGCCTATTTGCAAATAACAATGCTTTGGACAAATGCCTGAATTGTTGTTTAAACGATTTAGAAAGTGGTATATAATATTAGTATTTATTCTTACCTTCAATTACAAAATAGAATAGGCTCTGTTAAGACTTTTCATGATTGCTCCGAATGCTCTCTCGCTGATTGCAATGATCTTCCCCAGGGAATACGTTTCATCGCAGAGTTGTGTCAGATCTACAGGTAAAAGTCTCCAGAAAAAAACGACTATCAGTATCCAAACCCCGCCGATCCATGCCCAGTCATTGAAGGAGTAACACTACTAACTATACCTAATTGTGTGGCTGTATTATTTGTTTGTCAGTGTTGTGCAGCAAATTTCATACGTTTTTGTTTTTGCCTTTGGTTGCAGAACCAGACGCGCACCACGTTTTTCTTCAAGTCCAGTTTCTCAGCAATAGCAGCAATTTTCTCACCCGAGGGCCTCGGTTGTACGGCAAAATAAGCCTCCAGGGAACGTTTTTCAGGCGCCGCAATGGAAGTCCTTTTTCTTGAAAAAAGACTCGTTATAGATTACTGTTACAAAGTTTTGCATTTAAGCTTTTCTTGCCAATGTAAAGATGTTGTATACAGGGTGCCCGCGAGGATTTCTATAGTGTGCCTGTTTGTATCCCATACTGAAAATCCCATTTTTCAAGTGAACACTATGTATGTACATATATTTTTTATATTTAAAAACATGAATAGGTACATCTTAATGGTATTGAAAACATTAAATTTGATATTTAAGTAATCGATTGCATGCCACGTGGGCACCCTATATATACAAATATATTATTTGTAAGATGTTAACTTAGATCTAACCCAAAACAAGAATCCCAAGAGTCTTAAACTTTTTTTATTTAATGCTAAAGCTTTTTTTAAGTCATTTTCGATTTTGTTCGTAAAATTTCCCTACCTTTACAATTTATAACTTAAGTACAGTATATCTAAAGGCCAGATTATGCATACTTCACATAACTTCGCACATCTTCTAAAACGTAATACAACTTTACAAAACTTAAGGCTCATTATGCTTCGCATGCAACCAAATTTATCAGTACTACCAACCTTATGCATTCACGCAATAGGTCATTCACGGTGTCTGAACAAAAACAGCTGATTTTTGGTTTCTTCAGGTAAATGGATTTGTTTACGGAAAAATTAATTTAAGTGGTTTTAATGGGGTATATTCATGCCTTTCATTTGATATATAATTTTTTATAGTTAGGTTTAAGGACCACTGCCAACAGCGAAATAAAACAACTGTATTTTATTAATTTATTTCATTTAATTAAAGGTTCTTATCTTGTGCATATCTTTTAAAATAGTTTTTTAAGAAAAACAAATTTTTATTTAAAAAACTTGCAATAATTTGTATATACATATATGTTATATACATATATAAAATCAAATTAACTTTCCCAAATTACCTTTCTACCCCAATCCATACTTTGAAAATTGGCACCGCTCCTATGAATTTGCACCAAAATGGAATGTATTCCATTAAAGTCAGAGAAAAGCGGCGGGCCATGCTCACCTTTTCTTTTTTTAGCTCAACGGACCATATTCTTTACTTATTCCCAAAATTACATGGATGGAGTCGTGAATCCCCCTAATCTGCTTTCATGCATCTCTGTAAAAAGAATGCTATTGGTACCACTTTTTGAATTGAAATGTCACTTAAGAAAACGTGAGGCAAAATCTAAACTCAAGAGATCGCTAATTTTTTGAAGCTCTGCTAATTTTGGGTAATAGAATACGCACCAAATGCATTCAACAGATTTTCACCTGGCAGTTTGGAATTTATGCGAAGTATGCATAATCAGACCATAAGACAAGTCGCTATCAAGGTGAAAAGGTTCCAAGTCCACTGTTTTTCAAAATTTAGTTTTTGATACAGAATGACAGATAATGCGAAACTACATCGATTTTTCGTCTCTCCTGAATAATTTCAAAAAACAGACTTGGCCCCTTTTCACGTTAGGTAACGAAATATTTTTTACAAACCAAAGAAACCCTCTAAGCATTAAAAAGCCTATGACTTGAAGGCCGCCATAGTATGTGCAAGATTTATTAAACAAGGTGTGATTGACAACTCAGTGAGGCGTTTTCTTTTCTCACAAAAAGGTCTGCCCTTTTATATGGGAACTGTTGCTTTGCGTTGCCCTGAAACCTGAGAAAATGTTGCATTCTTTATATGAGAATGAAACAGAAAATATACTACTCCATCACAATTTATTTATAGAACTTAACAAAGCTGAATTATTCACTTGGCCTGTAAGACTTTAATAATTTTAGAGCAAAACACTTATTTCTGATACAGAAAATAATTGCATTTTTACAAGCGTAAATTAAAAATTAACCATGCAACCCCAACCATNTATTTTATTAATTTATTTCATTTAATTAAAGGTTCTTATCTTGTGCATATCTTTTAAAATAGTTTTTTAAGAAAAACAAATTTTTATTTAAAAAACTTGCAATAATTTGTATATACATATATGTTATATACATATATGAAATCAAATTAACTTTCCCAAATTACCTTTCTACCCCAATCCATACTTTGAAAATTGGCACCGCTCCTATGAATTTGCACCAAAATGGAATGTATTCCATTAAAGTCAGAGAAAAGCGGCGGGCCATGCTCACCTTTTCTTTTTTTAGCTCAACGGACCATATTCTTTACTTATTCCCAAAATTACATGGATGGAGTCGTGAATCCCCCTAATCTGCTTTCATGCATCTCTGTAAAAAGAATGCTATTGGTACCACTTTTTGAATTGAAATGTCACTTAAGAAAACGTGAGGCAAAATCTAAACTCAAGAGATCGCTAATTTTTTGAAGCTCTGCTAATTTTGGGTAATAGAATACGCACCAAATGCATTCAACAGATTTTCACCTGGCAGTTTGGAATTTATGCGAAGTATGCATAATCAGACCATAAGACAAGTCGCTATCAAGGTGAAAAGGTTCCAAGTCCACTGTTTTTCAAAATTTAGTTTTTGATACAGAATGACAGATAATGCGAAACTACATCGATTTTTCGTCTCTCCTGAATAATTTCAAAAAACAGACTTGGCCCCTTTTCACGTTAGGTAACGAAATATTTTTTACAAACCAAAGAAACCCTCTAAGCATTAAAAAGCCTATGACTTGAAGGCCGCCATAGTATGTGCAAGATTTATTAAACAAGGTGTGATTGACAACTCAGTGAGGCGTTTTCTTTTCTCACAAAAAGGTCTGCCCTTTTATATGGGAACTGTTGCTTTGCGTTGCCCTGAAACCTGAGAAAATGTTGCATTCTTTATATGAGAATGAAACAGAAAATATACTACTCCATCACAATTTATTTATAGAACTTAACAAAGCTGAATTATTCACTTGGCCTGTAAGACTTTAATAATTTTAGAGCAAAACACTTATTTCTGATACAGAAAATAATTGCATTTTTACAAGCGTAAATTAAAAATTAACCATGCAACTCCAACCATGCCGGATCAGAGCGCAACCTGCTGAGAAAACAACACGACGCCTTGTGAAAGGGCTGAGAAAAGAAGATGAAAATGTGACAGCGCTAACACAAGGCAGAATAAGTGCACCCTTTTTTCGAGAAAAGAAAACGCTATAAGGTACTATCACGTTTTTTCCATTTGACTTTATAGCAGGGTTCTTATGAGAGCAATGTCAGATTCAATCACACTTTGTTAAATACTAGTTGACTACGCGTATCCCAATTAGAGGTGTGCATTAGACTGATTCAAAAAAAACCTGTTTTTCGAAATTTATGTGCGTTGCATAAAAATCTTGGAAAGCATCAAGAGGAACATGTTGGTGAAACTTTGAGAGAAATCGCCGATCGTGCCAAATCGCGCACCTGACATACATCTTCGTCAAAAATATCGCCTATTTTCCACAAATATGTATTGAGCTAAATACCTGAAATATTGCAAATACCATTGGTAGAGACCAGGGATGTTGCGAATATTTGCATTCGCATTCGTTATGCGAATGATCGCATCATTTTACACATTCGCATTCGACATTCTCATTCGCATCAAATGATACGAATGTTTTGCGATTGCGGATGTCTACATGGGCAAAGAGTCCACTCTAATATTGTTGAAATGGCTCTAAGTCTGTCTAGCCGGGGTGCGGACAATAACCGGCTTTTAGCTTCAGGCGTTAAACGGTTAAGTAGTATATCAAGCAACATTTATGGACCTTCAACAAGTACTGATAATAGTCTTATAAGCAACCTAGAAATAATTTTAGATTCCTTCAGCGAAAGCGAATGCTCGGATGTAGAATCTGGAGACATTAAAAATGTGAAATCAAAGCTCGATTGAAGGCCTATCTTAAAGAAACACGAGCTCATATCGGTGAAAATCCTCTCGATTGGTGGAAAACTAAACCAAAATACGACAAATTGACAGATCTGTAGCTCGTTTCTGTAACTCTTCTCTACCGATTATTTCTCTACTGGTAGAGAATATACGTCATTCTCTACTACTCATTAGCAGTAGAGAACAGGGCGGCGAATTCATATCTCAATTCGCCTTGGTAGAGAATTGTTACAGAAACTACCCTGCAAAAATTTGAGGACCAGGTGGTCCACTGGGTCGTAGTTTTAAAGTATGTGCAAAAGGACCAGGTTGCATACTAGTAACTTGTTATGCTTACCTGGACCACTTCAAACGTAAAAGCTGATATATTTGTTGAGAACCACCTCTTCGTGCCCCATCGGCAACATGATTCGGCTGCCGAATGTGCCATGGTCCAAAAGGAGTAGTTGTCTAGGTGGTCCCATGTTATGCTGCGGTGGACCAGAAATGGTCCCATGTTATGCAGCGTTGGACCAGAGGTGGTCAGGTCCAATGACATCGCAATGTTAATGTAACCATATTTTCTCCATATATTTGGACCATTTTGGTTACTAGTGTTGGTTACAAGGTAGCATGGTCCTGTACTAGTATTTAACCTAGTCCCACTTTTTGCAGGGGAGCTACTGGCCCGCAAATACTTGATCGTTTCATCTATCAGCGTTCAAGTGAGTAATAGTTCAGTTTTGTCGGCCTTATATACGAGCCTCTAAGAAATCGCCTCAAGGGAGAAAAGGGTGCAAAATTACTTTTTTTTAAACTTTGAACTTTGGCTACTAGATTAAAACACTGTTAGGTACGGTGACCATTCGTACCGATTTTGGCGGGACAGTACCGATTTTGAGAAAATTGTCCCGAACATTTTTTTTAAGTCGGGACGTATAAGTGTCCCGATTTGACATATTTGTATCGATCAAGTCCCCATTTTCAGTGTTTTCTTTATTAATTTAATAAGAGTCTCCCTGTACTCTGTTCTAAAAAACTAATTTCCGCACAAACGTGGACACACTTTCGTTATCACAAAGAACATAGAGTATAAGGGAGCCATAAAGAAAGCCAGCATCTTTATTTTCTATGATGTTTGGTCATGTTTTATTCTGTCTATCTGGTACTCTCTGC